TTCCTTCCTTCCTTCCTTCCTTCCTTCCTTCCTTCCTTCCTTCCTTCCTTCCCTCCCTCCCTCTCTCCCTTCCTTCCTTCTTATTTTTTCCCCCTTGAGACGGGCTTTCTCTGTGTAGTCCTGGCTGTCCTCGAACTTACAGAGCTCCACCTGCCTCTGCCTCCCGAGTACTGGGATTAAAGGCGTGAGCCACCACTGGAGGGCTGTTATCTAATTTTCTGACACAAACATTCACAATGTGTTTTGAGAGCCTTTGTAATTGTGGGAAGTCTGTCTTGATGTTTTCACTTTTATTTTGGATTTTATTAAATCAAGCTATTTCTTTTTTCTTAGTTGAGACAGTGGTTAGTCTGTTCTACTGATCTTTTTCAAAGAATTAACTTTTTATTTATTCCAATATACTCTTTTCTTTTGAAGAAAAGGTTTATTTAAAATTGTTACTGACATTTGTTGCTGGTAGTGTTTGTGTGTTGGTGGCATCTCTGAGCATCTCTGAGGACATATTCATCATCCTGTGACTGCACAGGGCAGGTCTGTGGCTGTTGGCCTTGGATGTAACACTTCCTGAGCAGGTGCACACTGAACTCAGCATTACCTCAGACCCTCACCGAGGTTGCCCAGGTGTGCAGGCCTTTCCTTCTGAGCATGGTTGCTATGCTAGGAGATGCCAACACATTCCAAAGCCCCCTGTGGAATTTCATCCCTTAACTTTTGGTTAGACCTGTTTGCTACAATCTATTCTCCACTGTCCAGGGAAGCCTGGAATTTGGCAAAGACTTCCGGTTGCCCTACGGTCCTTCCTGGGGACAGTGCTCTGCACTGTGAACCCAGAACTAGTGGAGACAACCCGTGAGTGAGGCTCAGAGACTAAATCCATACATACATCAGTAATGCTCAGAGACTAAATCCATACTTACATCAGATGATGCTGGTTGTCTGGGGACCTGGTCTGCTCTGTCTGCGGCTGCAGACGCACCCCTGGGTTCAAAAGCACACTGGAGTAGAGAGGGTGAGGAACAGTGACATATAATTCCTCACTTGGCCGTCTGTGACCCAGATTCTTAGGTTTTTCTGGACCATGTCTTTTATCTTCAGATTACTGTAAGCCATTGGCCAATTTCTAGAGTTCTGAAGGTGGTTGATTCTAAATGTCCTTCCTTCCTTCCTTCCTTCCTTCCTTCCTTCCTTCCTTCCTTCC